ATAGAAAACGGTATTGTCTTTAAATGCACTTGATGGCAGATCACAGATTCCATTTTTGAACTATATCGAAACAAATGTATATTGCAAGATGATCTGAATTCAAAAACATAGTTACTAACACTACATCAAAAGCACTTCAAACAGCGTGTCTGGTAAGCAAAATAACGGCCGGTCGCACATCTCTAATGATACCCAAGACGCAGTAAACTTTTAAATAACTTTTTCAAAAACACTTCATATTTATTGTAATTATTACACAAAATAAATATATTTATTTATTTATGAGACGAAAGTCGAAATCACATTATCTTGTGTCCGACATCTACTAGACTCCACAAAGCGACTATACACTAATGTGACGTCATATCAATTGCAAATAGTGCAAGGAATACTTTTTTCAAATGGCTCAGTAAAGACTAAAAGAACACCCGCGAACATTCTGAAAAAATATTTCATATTACTCTTGCGTATCAGTGCTGACTTGAAACACTGTTGACACCGACTTGACAGTCAACGTTGAGGTGAAGTAGTGCTGATACTAACCTGACAATTCATATTAAATTGTAGTGGTACTGACAGTAAATTGACAGTCGACGTTGACTTGAAGCAGCGCTGACACTTAATTGACAATCAACGTTGAGGTGACGAAGTTCTACCACTGACTTGATAATCCATTTTAACATGAAGCCGCGCTGCCACTGACTTGACAATCCATGCTAGCTTGACGCAGTGCTGATACTTAATTTACAATCAACGTTGACTTGAAGCAGCACTGACATTCACTTGATAATCAAAGCTGACCTGAATCAGCGCTGACAGCGAATTGACAATCAACCTGGAGTTGAAGCAGCACTGACAGTGAATTGACAATCAAGATGGAGTTGAAGCAGCGCTGACAGCGAAGACAATCAACCTGGAGTTGAAGCAGCACTGACAGTGAATTGACAATCAAGCTGGAGTTGAAGCAGCACTGACAGTGAATGTTGACATTCAATGTTGACTTGAGGCGGCGATGGCACGGAATTTACATTTAACTTTGATTTGACGCAACGTCACTGAATTGACGATCGACATTGATTAAAGCAATGTAACCACTGAACTGACAAAAAGTTCAGTTAAAACAGCGCTGAAACTGGTTTGGCAATCAACGTTGATCTGAAGCCGCGATGACACTGAACTGACATTTAACATTGACTTGAAGCTGTGCTGACATTAATTTGATAAAGGATTCAATACCAAACGAGAAAAGATCAGGCTCTATACTGCATAATTTATTTACTTTATTCTGTGCACCATCATTACATTCATAATTTAGCCGAAAATGTGCTTGCCGGAATTGCATGAAATTACAATAACTCAATGTTAAACTGATTGAGTCAATGCGCTGATACAATATTAAAGACTGATAAATGAAAGGCCGCCAGATATATGGTTCTATTTAATACCAAATATGAAAAAAAACTAATGTGCGGTAATCTCTCCTCTACATCGCAATGAAATCAAAAAGATAAAAAGCATCTGGGCGTTGCTTATTCTCATGACATTTTTATTAGTCTTTTCTTTCCAAACGAATCTGAACATATCTATATGAGTTCAAGTGATTCAAACACAAGAAGCAAATATTGTTAAATGAACACGAGGAGAAATTTATTATCAGAATCATGCGGGATAAACTGTAAAGTTTAAGAAGATGTAAATATTTAAATACTCTGTTAAAGTTTTAAAGAAAATATACAAAAGGGAAACATGTAATTAGCCTGTTACTTCCCAACTGAAGCTGCCTCCAGCAAGTATCAGATGACTGGACAATTGAGATCAAATTTACTACCAAGATAACCTGTGACGAAAAATTTCAAAAATTATGAAACCGTGGATTTGATTAAACGTACACTAAAATACATATTGAGTCACTTCAAATTGTTATTTCGAGCTTTCTCACACTAAAATACATATTGAACCACTTCAAACTGTGTGGACTTAACTTAAATTTACAGTAAAAGTACATACTGAGCAACCACAAACAAGTACACACAGCTTCATAATTTTTTTTAAATTTCTCGTCCAAACCATCCGAGTAATCTAGTCTATAATTAGACAATGGCTTAATTTGACACTGACTGGAGACAGCTTCAGCTGGGATTAGATAACATAAGTATAATGTCGTTAATCATGGGGTTATATTGTAATAACCAAATATGCATGGGCGGTATTGTATCTGGGCGGTTGGTTAGTTACCTATGACTTTGTTAGGTAAGGTGTAAGGTTATATTATATTATTTTGTTTGCAGCTAAACAATAAAAGTCGAGATAAGTTAAAAAGGCATCCTATGCTATTAAATCATAGACAAATGCTCCTCATTTTGAATCAGGAACACGTAACGTTTTACAAATACCATCGCCTGGAGCACCCAGTATTTAGATCGTATGACTTAGTAGCCCAGTTTATAGGAATATGGGTTTTTTTTATAACCCAGATTAGATTAATTACTTTTAGGCTCCAAGATTATATTTATAAGTATACAATAATCCCAATCCACTGTTACTCTGTTCGACAAGGGATTCATCTTGGTCGTTCATATGGATGAATGGTGTACACGATTACGTATATGTATGGTGTTTTCAGAGCTCGACAAAGGGTGGTCTAATCTACTCCCTAAGTCAAACAAATTTAGTAAATTCGATCGGAGTTGGAGGTCCTGGAAATTACGTTTATATGGTTTAAATGACTCTCATATGTCAGTCTTAACAGTTACATGTGACAATAATTCAGCACTGGTTTAGCCATTAACATTTTATTTCTCTTCCATTCCGAAGGTGATGAATGATAAAATCTGTACCATTATCCATGATGATCTGACATAATCTATGGGCGTGTCTAGGATTAAAATGGATTATAGGACCAACCCGCCACGAATCCGTCTTAATACATGAAATAAAATCATTGTTAAAATAAAGCTTAATTAATGCACAAATTTTATGGGCAAAAAAAATTGACAACATAACACGATTAATTATTTTAAGTCAGTTTAAGTTTCATCCATGAAAAACGACTGTTGATGTTAATGTATACTTGACAAATTACAGCCCTTTCAATTGCACATAGGCACGAACGAAATATTAACATAAAAGGCCTTATCAGATATTAACGAAGAAAAAGTGAACAAACCTTACATCAGCGTGGAATATTTCATACAGAGTAGCTAAAGGAGAGACAATGGTAAATCAATCCTCTATGCCAAGATTATATTGGAATACACTTTTGCATGAAAAAGTTAAATTGAATCACCTGCTACCTTAATGTAACATGTGTAGAGGTATAATTGAACTTATCTTGGCGTTACGTTTTCCTGACTGGAGAAAAATTAGTAACTCTTTCGGACTTTGTCGACCAGAATCATTTTGGATCTATTTTATACCAGAATTTGTCGGTCTGATTCTTTATGGATCTGCTTTAGTATAGATTTTGTCGGCTTGAATCTCTTGGGATCTATTTTATATTAATCTAGTATTATTCATTACTGGAGACAAAATGTTTTCACAGGTCACAGTTGTCGTCATAGCGACATTCTATAGCAACACAGCTCATTCAAAATCTTATGCTTGTTTTGAAAATAAGGTATCATATCCTCTTTCCAAGTTGAAATCATTATCGCCGAAACTTGAAGAGTGGACTCGCCGAGAATGACAGCGATATATCTACTATCAGTCACTTGACTTGTACCAAAATTCTAACCACCCCCACAGCAGCAAAATGATATAAGACCGAACTAATTACTAGCAAGTTTAGGGAAACGAATCGTGTAGGAGCATGGTGTAGGTATATGTCGGTAGAATTCCTAATTAGCAGCCCGTTGACTATGGCGCACTGGTCCTACGGAGTGCTAATTCTGGCCACACTGGTCCTACGGAGTGCTAATTCTGGCCACACTTTATTAAGATCAGCATGTCAAATTCATGAGAGATTCAAGCAAGAACAATTCAAATTACTGTTGATTTCTTTGATAAATCTTTTGGAGAATACAGTGACAATATGAAAACATGAATAGCAATACCAAGTAATCTTTAATAATAATTTTTTCTCAATTATTATGTGTAACTGTTTATAATTTAGATTTCTACCTTGTATTGAGGAGCCATCTACAGTATCATGGAAATAGTTACCAGGCTCCCTGGTCAGCCATCAGATTCTATTTAATGTAGCATTACCATCTACCATACCATGACCAACTAGGGACAAGCGTATAAGTCGATAACGTTAGCGAGCCATTTAATCGGGGTAAACGAAAAGAAAGTCATTAAAATGTGCGACGCCAGGCGGATTGAATTAAAAACTAGCAGGACTTTTATTTATGCGACTCCAGCGGTGGAGCAGCCAAGTGTCTTAAGAGAACACGATATCAGTTTCATCAATGGCTTAAACGCATCGTAAATCACCACTGGAATATAGATACGTGGTTCTTTCTGATTATTCAAAGGTAATACAAATGCTCGTTTTTGTCCCACGTATGCATGTTGGGAAGAATGATCTGCATACAATTGTGTTTGATTATTTAAGCGTTCTGCATCCATGTATCCGTGTATGCGTTGTGGACAGTAATATTGTTTATACTCTTCCTTTTTGATGAAGCAGCAACCCAAAATAGTGTTTGATCAAACAATAGTGTCATATACCCTTATCCTACAAAAGTAAAGCAAATCAAAACTAATCATGTTGTCCGATGGAGTATATTTCGATATCAGCCAGAGATAAGCGATGTTAAATGTTCATCCACACCAAAAACATACATAAAATTAGAAATATTATTGACTTGTTTAAACACGCGTATATTGTCCAACTGCACTGGAAAATCAGTTCCGTTGAAATTTAATATGTCTTGATACCTTTTAATTCCCAACCCCGCTTGGGTTCTTAGTTCTAGCAAGGTACAACAACGAAAGATGCCGCCCACTTGAAACATTTATTATCACGTTATTTACGTTTATACGTAGCCTTAACAACCGTTTCGGTGGCTTAGTGGTTAAAGCGTCTGCCTCGGATGCGGGAGGTCGGGGTTTCGAACCCCGGTCTAAGCGTATTAAAGACTTATAAAAATAGTACAAACGGCTGCCTATCTTGGCGCTCAGCAGGTTAGTGTTAGAACTGGTCGGCCTGGTCTCAGAAAAATGTGACTAGGTGGAATATGATGCTACATGTCTGCGGCATGATATACTTCAGTTGTAGACATCACTATAAACTGCCACACTGCTGACATGGTAGCGATATGACTGAATTTTGTTAAAGCTATGATAAAACCCAACAAACACACACACGCGCGCGCGCGCGCGTAGTTTTGTTAACTTTTTATCTGCGTTGATAACTCCATCTACGATTTTTCATGTAACCGATTGCACCTAGACAGGTTAAGATCCGCACAGATGATATTGGTTAAAAATCATTCGGACCCTTCTCTCGTGTAATAATTAATTTTCGATTGAATCTTTTCCAGTACATCATACAATATGATCATGATCTGTTTTGGCTTAGTCACAAACGTTAGGGTTGACTTCATACCATCAGTCTTTGTGTACCTAACGGTGACTGCAAAGTTATACTTCATACTATATATATGACTGATCCGGGTAACCGATAAGGACACTATCATCATCAAACATCATGTTTTATTATTTTATTAAACGTGGTAGAGGTCTTTTTGTTCAATTCTTATAATAAGAGAAAATGAAAGACAAGGTGGTTTTTGTCTCTGCGACGTGGAAGATGGGATTTTTTTTGGCCCATTTATTTCCTGACAGCAACATCGGCGTCTGAGGAAGGATCAGAGACATTGCAAGCATGAAAGCATTACTAACCAAGCAAAACCGACGATGCTTAGAATGGCGTGGACGCATTTTAACATCGATTATACTTGATGAGGCGCTTCTGAAATAGTCAGTGAATTGTGAAAATAGTGAATATTAATATTGTAACAATATAAACGATCGTATAAATTTGATATTTTATTATTAAAAAAATAGATTAATCTTTTCACTAAGTGAGCATGACTCCAGTATTAGATTAAAATCTTCCGGCACACGTTATTATGATTGGTTTTGTAAATGTTGAATGATTCAGCTAGGAATGATAGAATTTCCCTGGGTATCTGTAAATGATAATCCTTTTTCTGACTAGAAAAGGATATGCCACCTGATTTGTGTGTAAACATCACGTAAAAACCTGACGTCCATTCCAACAACTATTTTTCGTTTTACCTGACAGTTGTATGCTATAATGATGTACTAAATTTAGAATAAGAATCCCCATACTGCCTTTAAGATATATCGCATTTCATTTTGCATAACTCATGCGATAAATGCAATATGGATATAATTCTAACACGTTGCTAAGGATTCTTCATAATCTACACCTTTTAACATGAGATGCATATTCATGTATGATATGAACTCAACTGGGAACATACTATATGCAGTACACTGCACAGCCTATGAAACTTTTAATCACCATTGGATCGGAAAGCTTAATTATCACGCTAAACGTCAATAATACTAGACCTGAAATTATCGTTTATTAATTTCAAAAATCAAGCACGTAGCTGATCAGACCGTTTTTGGTGATTTTCAATATAACTTCAGGTCAAAATATGGACAGTAAACTTGATAAGTGACATAGATGTAATTCTATGGTCTGTTGTCAAAGTGAAAATGATCAAAAAATAAAGAGTTGCCAACATTTTAGCCTTACAGGATAAACATAACAGGAGAAATACATAATTTAAGCAATGCGAAGGCGTTTTAGATCTCAAGACTTATACTAAACCAATTGATAGCGAGTGAATGTAAAAACATATTTGACCAAATAAGTAAAATTTCATTTACTATATTATGCTCCATAATTCATGAACCGAGAAAACATATCGATAATTGTGCTTGAATTTTGGGTTAAACCATTCAACTTTGGGCAGATAGACATAAACATAAATGTGAATTGCATGGACAATACAGTGGTAATTAAGGATGGCATATTTGCATGTGTGGGACATATGCAATGTACTTGTTAAAATCACATGTGCAAACATGATTCAAATAATCTGTTTGAATATTTTTAGTCTATTTTTAAGAGTCTTGGCTACCAAGGTTTTAAGTTCAATGATTCAATGATTCAATGGAATGAAATATCAGCTGATGCTGCAATACCGCCCTCTGTCAAAGTACTAAATTGAAATGTGTTACCATACAGAGGCATATTCATGATGAAAATAACATCTTGGGATATTTTAAGTGCACACAATCAAAACTGAGCCTTACAGATTCACTATAGGTACCATGTCAGCCTAACAATGTCAACTTTTGATTCCAAACATTACAAAATATATGCATATTTGTTCATGTCAGCTATGTAACCATGTTAGGATCAGTTGTAGAAAGTTAAATTCAAATAATCTGTTTGAATATTACTTATGTAATCTTTAAAGTGTCAGATAACAAATATTATTAGTCATTAATAATGCATAAAGCAAAATGGATCATGAGAATTCCCATAATATCATCTAGGCTACAATGTCGCACTACATCAATCAACATCTTAAAGAAACTGAACAATAAAATGGAATGCATTCTGTGTTCAACTTACATCATTTTGCTGTTTTCTTACATGCAATGGTAAATATACCTGGGTAAAGTATATTTTACCCCTCTGACCTGTATTTCATTCTCTGACAGCTTAATATGATTTTGTAGAGAACTTGAACAGGTTCTAGTATAAAGTCTTCATCTCTGTCCTCTCACTAAATACCCTATAACTATGGTTATAAACAATTACTGATAGCTATACAAGCAGATATGTGTTACTCAGGAAGTCACCCCATCATAAACACATAAATTAGCTGTTTGAACCCCAAAAAAATAGTTTCAATGACCTAAAGGTACAAAGCAAAGTAGAATTTTGTCTTCATGTATTTTAAATGAGGGTCTCATTTTGACTAATAAAGATATTTTCTCTGATCAAATTTGACAAATATCCATCATTTGAGCTTGTATATGGTGTAGGAGTATATATATGCTGATATCATTTAATATCATTCCCAAAAAATATTATATATGTGTATACTTGGTGGAAAATTTTTATTTTTTAATTGTTTTTTTAAATTTCATTTAAATTTTTAAAATTAAAATTATTTTTTTATTTTTAATTTAATTTTTATATTTTTAAAGTCAATATACATAACCTATTAAAATTTCATGTGTATGTCATTAATAATAAAAATTTTATATCAGTTTCAAGTTTTTACTGACAGGACATAGTACACAATTAATTTCACTATATATTCTCTACATTTGTTTCTCAGTACTGAACTTTCCACTGTGTGACAATCAATACAAATCATATGTTAATCTAAAATACCTTCAAAGATGACTTTACGGTTTAGTTCTTGTCAAGGGTTGACCTGCATTTTTTTGAGAGGCTGAATTGTAAACAAAACACCAGGCAACGGAACACAGAATTCACTTCCGGATCATCACCATGACCTTATTACTCAATGTGCACTGTCGCCGAAATACACACAGACAACCACACCATAAGCTCACATTTTAAAGAATAAACAATTGCCTTTAAATCCTTACCAAGAATGCCAAAATCTGACTCTAGTATCACCACTAAATTTAGACCGGAAAAAGTGATCTAAAAATAGACTGGGACTACATTCGTGGGTACTGAACCGGATTTTATTAATTGTGTACCGATTCCTGCTGGGAAGCATTAACTAGACAGCGGTAGGTTGGAAGAGGTACATCATAAAAGAGCCGCATCAGTGATTAGAACAGTGCATTCCAATCTTTTTGATACAATGGGTCACTTAAATTTTTTTATTGAAGCCGAGGGCCGCAGCATGAAATGAAAGTAGGCAATTGACTTGGTTTTACATAAATGCACACAAAATTGCTCGAGCTCTCGCATGCCATTTAAAAATCAGGTCGCGGGCCGCATGTTGGACATCATTGATTTATACTAACGGTGCTTTAGAATGTGTAAAATTCATATAGATAAGATGACAATAAGCAAACAAAAAAAGTTTTAAAATATTTTCCTAACATCAAACTGTGGTCCGATTTCTTACATTTAATTTTGATATTATTTTATGTTACAGATGACAGTAGCGTGGAAATAGTGAGGTATGACTTCGTGATGTTCCTGGTGATTAATCATATTGTATTTAATGTTGTATTACCATCTGCGATAGCAGTTTCGTTCTCCAGTACACAACCCGACAAATGATTCTTGCATATATTGGAAGATTGCATAAAAACGAGATGGTTTAATAATTAGACAATTGTCATAGGTATAAACCACAATAGATCAAAGATTGGAATAAAAATTGGAAGAATTTATTAGCCATTATAAAACCAAGCAAAGAACTGATTAATAGTATCAACTCACTGAAATCACCATCGGAGGCTCAGAATTAGCTTCCGTGATGTGTTCTTATCATTTTTCTAATGTGGATGGTGCATTTAATATAAAAATCCAGGAATCCTCATCGACGTTACCGTGCTGTTGGGGCTGTCTTGCTGAACCACTGATCAGATGGTACTCTCGGTGGGAAAATAGTGGATAATGATATTGGTATTCAGGATATATACGGATTCCGTTAATCCCTTGATGGTTATTTTATTACTGATAATAAAAGTGTTATACTAGAATTTAAATGTCTTTTTCGCCGTAATGTGAGCATGACTCCAGTGCTATTAGGATTAAAAGTCTTCCCGGTGGCTCACCACGGTTTATTGATCGATGTGGTTTTTTGTAAATGTTCGATGACTCAGCTAGGATATGATAGAACGTTTCCCTGTTTGGATTATTGCCGTTATAATGAGTAATTTCCTTTTTCGGTGATTATAAAAGGATCATGCAGCCTGATTTGTGATCGTCAAACGAACCCGATCTGTTAAAACTCCTGTCGTCCAATCCAACAACTCATTTTTTCTGTTTTTACGCTAAGATGATATGCCTATATGATGTAATAGAATTTCAGAATAAGAAATGTCACGATACTGCCATTTAAGATATTCGCTGCTATTTT